CAAAGCAAATTAAAAAATAGGAAAAACCAATTAGAAGCAGTTCTTTGTACATCATGTGCTTTCTGTAAATTACGCAGTATTAGTTTTTTGAAGTTGTCCAGCTCACAGTCATTTCTTTTTCTGGGTTTTTATAAATTATTTCTTTTATTTTTTGAGATTATAATTACATCATTGCTTTTCCTTTTTCTTCCTTAAAGCTCTCCATATACCTGTTCTTGTTATTATTAAAACCCATGGCTTCTTTTTTCATTAACGATTATTATATACTTATCCTGGAGCAGCTTCTATGTTTTTAACAGAAGCATCTGGTTGGTAACACTCCTTTTTATTGAAGCTAAGGTGTTGAAATAGGAGCGGCGAGGCTGCGTCCCCGGCACCCGGCCACCCGCATGGCTAGGTTATGCCCAGAAATAATTACACAGAAACTGTATTCTTTCAAACACTGCCTGGCCCGGCTAGTTCCAGCTTCTTATTGGCTAGCTCTTTCATATTGTTCTAACCCATTTCTAATATTCTGTGTAGCCCATGAGCTGGCTTACCAGGGAGGATCTTAACCTGCATCTATCTGGAGCGGGAGAACCATGGCGACTCCTTCACTAAGCTTCTTTTTCCCAGCATTCTCTTCTGTCTACTCCGCCTACCTAATTTTCTGTCCTATGAGGGCCGAGGCAGTTTCTTTATTATTAACCAATCAAAGCAACAGATAAGATACAAGACCCACCTCCATCATTTCCCCTTTTTCTGTTTAAAAAAAAAGAAAGGCTTTAACTTTAACATAGTAAAATTACATATGCCCATTTCTAATGATTGTTTGTAAGCACCCCAAGGTGCGCTTACCGGGAAGAGTCTAGCCTATGTCCATCCTGGTTCTGGGGAGCTTCATTGTGTGCATCTGCCAGGGAGAGCAGAGCATGGCGTCTCTCTAGGAGCAGAGCAGAGTCTGACCTCACTTCCTCTTCCGCCCAGAATTCTATTCTGTTTATTCCACCCACCTATCTTTTAACCTATCAGGGCCAGCAGTTTCTTTATTGCTCAGCCAATGAAATCAACAGATAAGATACAAGACCCACCTCCATCACTAAGGGCTTTCTACCCAAGCTATTGACTATGTTTTAGACAGATTGGTCTTGTTCTAAGACTTTCAAGTTCATATTTGCATAGTTCTGTTTTACTGAAAAAGTTGGCTTTTTCAGTGAAAGAACCTACTCTCTACTCTCAAGACTTCTATTAGTTCAAATGTGTTCAAGTCATGAGTCCCTGATTTTCACTGGCATGCTATATAAATTAAAATTGCCTTTACCTCTGAATACTGTGCATGTAAGTGTGAATGCATGCGCATATGTATTCATGTTATGTGTAAGTATGTGCATGCATGTGTATATGATTATGCATATGCGTGCATCTATAAGTATGTCTGTGTACATGTTTTTCTCTCTGTGTATATGCTTATTTTTCAAGATTAGCTTCTTGTAGTTACTGCCTGCATCTTCATCCCATGAAACAAAATATTCATTAATCATGTCAGAGGGTTTTATTTTCATAGCCTATAATTCTTTTTCACTGTCTGAGTTCTGAAGTATGTAGCCCAATGACCTAAGTCTTACTTGAAGGTAGGATATTAATCATTATGAGGAGGAAAGCACACAAAATTACAGGTTGAAGATAATCCTGTATGGGGGAATGTTACTATTCAGACTTTGCAAGTACCCTGAGAATAAGTCTTAGTGCACACTTTATCAAAAACACATTCATAATAAGGGAAACGAGTACAGGTGCATGGAGTGGTGAAGAAAACAATTCACAACTCGCCGTAGAATTAACACTTTATGCTAGAAACAATTTTAATGCAAGGCAGAAGTTGGAATTGCATCCTGCTAATTCCATCAGATTCCCACTGTCTCATAACAGAAGAAACCCAACTATTTTACTTGAAAATTTCCAGAGCTACAGTAAGAATTTGTGTGATTAAAAGAAGGTAAGTCCAGAATAACCAAACCTTGGTGAAAGAAAAAATTTAAGTATTTCAAAGAACACAGAAACTTCTGAGTAAAGAAACTTTGAGGGGATCTATAAAATATAACAAAGGAAGGGAGCAAGAGACAGGGTGAGAAACCCCAGGCATCTTTTCCTTCCACAAAGACTTAGTAAGCTCTACTTGGGCCATTACAATTTTCTTCTTAAGGACTCTGGACAAAACAATAAGACAAAACCAAACAGGTGCATCAAAATTAGGAATTTCTGTGGTGTCCATTCCCTTGGTCCCCTCTGTTTTTAGGAGAGCCTCCCAGCCCCTGGCTTCTCCCCGAGTGGAAACAAAAGGCTAAATGTATGCACAAATGTTCTGATAGTTCTGAACGATGCCCCAGGAAAAAAGCTTCTAGTTCATCAGCCACAGGCCTGGTAGAACCTGACTTAGTTTGCTATGGTTTGAAGTTTCATTCTGGAGAAGGGAATGTGAATTCAGCCAGAAAACCTGGTGATTGCCGAGACATTGCCAAAATTTCCAGTAGCTGAAGGCAACTGTAAGCAAGCCTGATGATCTGAATTTGACCCGTGTAACCCAGCCTGATGGAAAGGAGAAGCAGCTCCTCTGAGGGGCCTCTGACTCTGACACATAGGCTCCAACAAGTAAAGCAAAAAGTGATCATGGCCTGGGAAGATAGTTTAACGGATCGGATCAAGTCCTCGTCAACCTAGCATTAGGACCTGTGGTTCTTAAAGCTTACAAAAAGCCAGGAAGGTGTGGTAGCCCAGTTATTCTAATGCTGTGGAAGTAGAGACCAGGGACCCTCAAAGCATGCTGGGAAGCTGGACTAGCTGGAGTTACACAAGAGACCCTGTCTCAGTAAATGTAACACTGAGCAATAGAGGAAAACACCTGATGTCAGCTTTGAGCCTCTGTGTGTATGGAGTTGTATGCAAACCTGAACATAGGTTTGCACACATCTAAGTAAACACATGAATACTGCACACATGAACACACACAAATAAACTCATTACAACATATACACATAAACTCACACACACATAGATACACACTAGACCACAACATGCACACACACAGTGATTTTGGGACTGCAAAGTTCTGTGACCCTTGGAGCCACTGTCATGCCCTCCTCTCCAGAGGATGCCCAGAATGAAGTCTCAATTCTCTAACTCACACCCATCACTTCTCTTCCAGATCCAAACATATTTTAATCACTAAATTCTATGTCTGTTCACTTTCTAAGACAACTTCAGCTAAGTTGAAGATTTAACTTCTTAAAAAAGCACTCTTCTTTGATTCATATTTTTCTAGTTTGTTCCATGCTCAGCTATAGAACTTAGCTCATTTTCTAATGCAGAGAACGCTTAATACAGAATATCTTAATATATCAGCAATTTATTAATTCATAAATTTATATATTAATTCTGATTTATTGTTTTGTTCAGAAAAATCTAATTACTTTAGAGTTTGTCAATGATCTTTAAAACTTTTCACTAACTCACTAACTCAATAATAATCCAATACATTTATTGAATTTCTCTGTTATGTTATAAAACTTCTCCAATTGCTATTTCCTTATCTCATGAATCTTACTGAAAGCATTTTAATTTATTTTCAAGCTTGTAGCACAAAATTCTAATTTTCTAATCTGGAGTTGGAATTTTCTCTGGGCTGCTAACTGGCTCCCAAATAAAGGCGTGCAGAATTATTAATTATGAATGCTCAACCTTAGCTTATGCTTACCATACCAGCTCTTTTAATTTAACCTGTTTCTATTCATCTATTTCTGCCTCATGGATTTTTATCTTTCATCCTATATATCCTACTTTCCTGCTTCCTCCATGTCTGGCTGATTGGCCCCTGTTGGATCTCTTTCATCTTCTTTTGTTTTCTCCCTCAGGCAGAAATTCCTTCCCCTATTTACTCTCCCTGCCTAGAAGTTCTGCCTATACTTCCTCAATATTGGCTGTTAGCTTTTTATTTGACCAATCAGGTGCCTTAGGTAGGCAGGGTAAGAACAGCAACACATCTTTACATAATTGAGCAATTATTCTGCAACATAAACAAATGCAACACATCCTTACATAGCTGAAGAAATGTCATACATCTTTGCATAACTAATCAAATATTTCTCAACACTAATTACTCAACACAAATAAAAATGTGAAATGTTGAATACAAATTTTCAATAATTGTGTTACAGAATTACAGTTTTTTTAAGCTTGTCAATCTGCTTCTTTGTACCTCCTATAATTCTCTTATATGTTTTTATAAAGACAATACTAAAGCACTCCGCCCCCATTCCTTTATTGTCCTGTATGCAGAGCTTCTGTAGGTTTTAATCAATGGAATACTAGATTATAAAAGATAAGAAAAAAAATGTCATGGATGAGTATTGGCAATATTGTATTATACTTGATAATTGATTAAAATTCAATTTGTAATGATCAATTATTTGTCTACTTCCTTTGATGATCCATTATTCAATTGTTGAAAGTTTATGGTGCAGATATTTCCTTTCTTTGTTCATCTAGGGGAAGGTAGTTGGGTCTTCCCATTAATCCAATTTGATCTGAAATACCTGTGCATTTGAGGTTCTCCTTCCTTGGCCCCCCCTGAGTGGCACATACAGTAAGACTTTTCTTTTTGATCAAATAAACTAAAGGATAGATTGATTTCTTTTACAATAAGGCATTATTTTAGTTATCAAGAATGGAGCTAAATTCTCTGCCTTCATATATCTTTAGTGAAGGAAAGCAAGAAATAAAATAAATAATAACAGGCAATGATAATAAACTAAATTGATGATGTGATAAAGAATGTGGAGAAGGCATGCTTTAGACTTCATGATCACAAAGGGTCTTTCTTAGTCATAAGGCTGAAGATAACATTTAGAATTATGAATGGAGGCAGTCATGTTGAATTAGATGTACAAAAATCTACAGGACAGTTTAAGATCGTTCACAATCTTTCAGCCCAGTTTGTTAAAGAACAAAATTATGCTTGTGGATCCGCGGCCCGGAGCATCCGAGCGGTGAAGTCGGTGGCTTGCTTTCTTATCTTCTCTTCAAGTCTTCGATTTTTTTAAAAAAAAATGGCCTCCAATAAAACTACATTGCAAAAAATGGGAAAGAAACAGAATGGAAAGAGTAAAAAAGTTGAAGAGGCAGAGCCTGAAGAATTTGTGGTAGAAAAAGTACTGGACCGGCGTGTAGTGAATGGGAAGGTGGAGTATTTCCTCAAGTGGAAGGGGTTCACAGATGCTGATAATACTTGGGAACCAGAAGAAAATTTAGATTGTCCAGAATTAATTGAAGCATTTCTTAATTCTCAAAAAGCTGGTAAAGAAAAAGATGGTACAAAAAGGAAATCTTTATCTGACAGTGAATCTGATGATAGCAAATCGAAGAAGAAAAGAGATGCTGCCGACAAACCAAGGGGTTTTGCCAGAGGTCTTGATCCTGAACGAATAATTGGTGCCACAGACAGCAGTGGAGAATTAATGTTTCTTATGAAATGGAAGGACTCAGATGAGGCGGACTTGGTGCTGGCAAAGGAGGCGAATATGAAGTGTCCTCAGATTGTCATCGCCTTTTATGAGGAAAGGCTGACTT